TGAAATTTTAATATTATGATGCTAGAAATTAATATAGTAGTATTATTTTGTTTTACATTAATAAGACTGTGTTGATCGAAAAAGAAATCAACGAAAAAAAGTTAAAGAAATAGTTAACTTTGTTAATCGGCAATCCAATGTCGGTGAACGGCAGGCAAAAATATTTAAAAAAACAGTCAACGTCGAAAAAGAAGTTACAAAAAAAAAATCAAAGGCGGTCAACAGTGACGTTGGTAAAAGTCGGTATCATTGGTTAAAATTGGTTAACATATGAAATTAGGTTTAGATTATGGCTCGATAAAATTTTAGGGGTTTTTAGAATATTTTGAAATAATACATGGGTCCTGTTGAAATTTTCTCAAAGAAAAATTTCGATTCAGCCATAATTCAACCGTTGACCGTTACTTTTTGACGGTCAAACATACGGAAGGACTCAATGTGCTAAAATGTGACAATATTAGAGTGCATTTTGTTGAAGGCGGTAAATGAGGGATCAAAAGTAAAAAATGTACAAACTTTGGAGAATTACAAACATATTAAAAGTTTGCTAGCTGTTTTTGACTTTTTTCTTGATATGATGTAATTTCAAAGCAATCTATTTTTAGGAAAATCAAAATTAGTGGAGATAACCTTAACTAATTAGTAGTATATAGAAAAAAATATATTGTATTTTTTGTTTATGTATTTATGTTTTTATGTTGTAGTAAATTATTTTTAAATTAAAATTTCATAACAAATGAGACTGAGTTGTTTACTGATTATTAAAAATATAAAACTTAATTTTGTGTATCGGTTATGAATAAGAATATTTGTAAAATGTTGTAATTTGATTAGTTAATTGAAAAGAGAAATTGTTGAGCCCATATATAATACATTTAATACTCCACTTTGCAGATGCGATAATTGCAGCAGAAATGTTCATAAACCATGGCATAAATGTACATAAAATTAATACATATTAGCTCGGAAACTCTTCCAAGAGTTAAATTCGGTATTGAACAATCGTCTAGATCAATATTAATTTTATCACTTTTCAATCATATAATTCATATTTTTTTCTTCATTTATTCATTGTGCTTTTATACATTTTGGTTCGGTTCGATTTTAGTTTCGATTTCGGTTTCGGTTTCAGTTTCGATTTTGATTTCGGTTTCAATTTCGGTTTCAGTTCCAGGGTTTACGGTTTATGATTTCGATTTTGATTTATATTTTCGGTTTCAATTTTGTCAGGTTTTGTATTCAAATGATTTATTCATTTTGAATTGGCCCAATTCACAATCCACTTGAGGCAGCGCAGTACCGGTGTTGGCCCTCACATTCACTAAAGCCCAGTTTATGAAGAAGCTTCTGGACTTCTCCGTTTTCACCATCCATATTGGATAGTCAATCTTGTTCGTCCATCACGTCCCTTAAATAATTTACTCTATACATAATTTGACTTCAGCTGCTCTGTACTTCTTCTCCTTGTACCATCCATCCTTCTCTTTTCTCTCTTCTTCTCTTCTTTAAGGCGATTTTACAGTCAAACGTCACCAACTATAGCAGACTTTGACTCTAACTCGGTTTATCCGTCGATGACCGTTGTATCTCAGAGTATAAATGGTTGTTGTAGAGACATAGAGAAAGGATAACATACAAATTCATGCTTTTCCTTCATTTTTTGTCTTCATTCTTCTGTGAGTGAGAGATACAGTCTTAGTGATGGGTAAAATGGAGAGTTATGAGTGTGTTCGAGAAATATTTTTAAGTTAGGGTTGGTGAGTCAGATCTAGAGTTTCTGGGTTGGTTCGAGGGTTTTATCACTTTATGAGTTGAGTGTGGTGAATTGAGTTTCAATATCTCCACCACACCTATTAAAGTCACTATTAACTGAATTTATAAACGTGGATCCGATAATTGCGGACTAAGTTGTTGATGTACAAGTACAACTCCATGTCGAGGAGTTATTATTGTTTCAAACGAGTATCCAACAAGTTTTGGTTTCAGTTTTCATTCGATTTCAGTTTCAAACTTTGACTGTGGTTGTAGGAAGGCTAAAGAAATTTATTATTAACAAAACACAAATACAAATAAGTATTAATTGATCAGAAAATAAAATATGAGTATGTTTAAGTATTTCATTATTAAAACTAGATTTTATGTATACTATATTAACAAAAAGGGGCTCTTTGATATAACCCCTCAATACTTATTTCAATAAGGAGAAGTCCAAACTATTTTGCACCATTTAAGAAAAACTCACTCCTAATTTAAGCCACTCATTCTTCCAATTATGTCCCTTCCACTATCCCTTCCACCTCATCATTAGTGTCCGCCCATGACCACCCATCAGCCGTGTCTTCTTTGTTTTTCGTTTTTTTAATTAATTAATTAATTATTATTATTATTAATATTTTATCATTATTTTTTCAAATACATTTTTTTTTAATTTTTTTTTCCATTTTTTTTCTGTATCAATTTTATTAATCGACTAAGAAATATAGTCGATTAAGGTAAATCGACTATGAAGCATAGTCGATTAAGGAAATTCTTTTAAAAAAAATTAATTTTTTTTGAAAACTTTTTTTTCTATATCAGGTATATACATTAATCGACTATGATGAAGAATAGTCGATGTAATTTTTTCATATACATGAATTTTTCCTTTATTTATAATAAATATTAAATGGATGGACTTATTGGTGTAAGAGATATAGCCCATAAACCTATAACAATAAAGATGGTTAGGGACTTATGCACAACCACAAAAATATAATTTCAACAAAAAAAGTTGAAGGCAATAACTGGCGAGGAAAAATTAATATAATAAGTCAAAATAAAAGAAAAGGAAAAAATTAAACGACGGAAAATTTTAAGAAAAAAATAAAATAAAAATCAACGATCAGTGTTGGCCCCAAAAAACACTGTACTAGAGTGGTTGTATCCTTTCCAAATTATCTGCACATGTCTAATTCATCTTGTTCATATTCTTTTTGTGAATAATTTTAGGATGCACGGGTGGTTCCAAAAAAAAATTGAGAGAAGAAATTAGGGATTTTTAAGAATCTAAATAACGCTTTTAAATTGTATTTTGTTACCAAAAAAATTTAAATAAAAACTTTGTTCGAAGTTTGAAATTTGAATATTATGATGCTACATAATAATATAATACAGTCATAATACTGTGTTGATCGGAAAAAAAACCAAAGAAAAAAGTTTAAAAAAAAACAAGAAAAATAGAAAAGTCAACGTTGTTAATCGGCAATCCAACGTTGGTGAACAACGGCAAAGAAATATTCAAATAAAAATTCAACGCCGAAAAAAAAAATTAAAAAATAATCAACGGCAATCAGCAGTGACTGTGATAAAAATTGGATAATTGATGAATTTAGGGTTGGATAAAATATTAGGGGTTTTTAGAATATTTTGAAAGAATGTAGGGGACTTATTGCACTTTTCTCAAAGTAAAATTCCAAATTCAACCGGACCGTTACTTCATGACAATCAAACGGACTGAGGGACTCAATATGTGTTAAGATGCGAAAATATTCTAGTGTATTTTGTTGAGGACGTTATATAGGGAACCAAAAATGAAAAATAGCATACTTACGGGACCAAAACTATAACTACCCACTTGAGGTTAACAGTACTATGAGTTATTGGCCATTAAATAATTGTTTTTATTATGTTATTTTCTTTATTTTTATTCTTGTAGATTTTCAAACGAAAAAAATTATTATTTTTAGATAAAAGCTAGGAGAAAGTATAATTTACACCCCTAAATTATGATGATTGTACCAAATACCCCCGAACTATCAAATGCGACAATCCAGCCTCTCTGTTTCTGGTCAAATGTTAGAAACTTAACAACGTTAATGTAAATGTTTAATTACTTATCTACCCCTATGAGTGTAATATTATGTTGACGTGGACAAACTTTCCATTTAAATGTGCAATTATTTATCTCTCCTATCTTCTCTTTTTCCTCATCTTATGTAGCCAATTTTAATCAACTGAGTTTTTCTATTCTCTCTCTCTCCCCCCTCCCTCATCTCCTCTCTCTATCTTCTTCTCCTCCTCTAATTTTACGTTTAAATCCCAAGACTCTTCGTATTCCGGCGGTGCTGAATTTCCCACGACGGCGGTGATATCTTATCTTGTTGTTGATGAAAAAAGCATGTTGCACATTTTTGGTGGAGATGACGATGCGTATTGTGGTAATTGGGATAATTGAGTTTCATGTCGGTTTTGTTGAGGCAAAAAAAGTGAGTGTGGAAGCTCTGTTTGTGATAACAGAGAAGATCAAATGCCTCTGCCAAATATTTTACCAGATAATTGATTCTTTTTTCCTTTTTTTTTTCTAATTCATTTATATTTAATAATATTTTTTTTTGATTGTTTAAAAAATAGACATAATTGAACACTTAATAAGGAACAACGAAAATATTTACAACGTTAAATAATAAATATTTGAGTTTAAGATTTATTTATACTTAATATACTTAGTATCAGAAGATGCAATATTCTTAACAAAAGTAGGTAAGCCAGTTGAAACCTAGGACTTCCTTAAAGGAAAGATGCGCTATTCTGTGCGCCGCCCGATTCCCTTTTCTTACAATGTGGCGTGCGAAGGAGACAAAAGAACTTGCAACAGCCTTAATATCTGTAACGGCATTGCCATAGACCGATCTATCTTCAACATTTTCGGTGATCGCTGCAATAACCACACTGCAAAGAGCGCTGCTCTTGCTTCAGCAGAAGAAGAATCGAGAGGTTGGCGAAAGCAAGCTGAAGACCAACCAATATCGAGCAATAACTCGAAGCCCACAAACTCCATCAACCGTATTCACAGCCGCGTTTAACCTAATAAAAATGGGAGGATGCCATCGTGTGTTCCCCATCCCAAATCACTGTTGCATTGGTTTACATTTGCTGAAGAGAGTCTCATATCTGCAGCAAACTTTTGCACAAATGATATAACTTCAATAGCCTTGATCACCTTACCCTCAAAAAACCATAAATTTCATAAATGCCATAAAGCCCAACATACTAAAATGCATTTTTCAAACATCCCAGCATCACAAGAGTTTTTCATATGATTGATCCAATCAAGTACATAATTAAGAATAAATAAGTAATCAAGAACATCAAATTTTGGCCGATAAACATCGTTCCAATATCGCAATTATACAATTTAAATATAGATGACATGAAATTAGAGTACTTCTAAGTAGTTGTTGCAACAGGCAGAGAGGTCTTTGACCCCATCACATCACCGATAAAATCGGGAAAACTTTCATACCCGGGCAATGGCTTTACATCTCCACTATAGTCAATTTGCAAAGGGTATTTGATAAGATGCCCTTGCAACTGACTATAGTCCTCTGCTACGTATTTATTCCAATTTTCTTCAGCAATGTTGTTTACATATTTGACACACTCTAAGCTCTCGGGATAATTGAATAAATTATTGACCTCCCCCATGTGCTCGGCCCAGAGGGACAACCTGTATCCGTATACCTGCAAGTACGTATTATTCTATATTTAAAATAACGATTTTCAACAAGGATTTTTTATCCTCATAAATTTTAAAAATTTGAAAGAATAATCTAAACAAGATTAATAAACCTGGCCATGAGGATGCCCTTTCTTCTTGGCCCATGTGTGATGGGGTTGATAACCCCCCATCGCTATCTCCGTGTCTCTTGAGCCTGCCATGGAACGTTCATTAATGTTGGCTGAACCGATGATGATATAATCATCATCGACGATCATGCCCTTCGAGTGCACGTATATCATAAATCTTCCATGTCTCTGTGAAGCCGAATCCTGCCACAATTAGTTCATGTGATTAAATTACAAACCATTCAATAAATAGATTGAAATTGAAAATGCCTAATCCGGGAAATAGGTAAATTGTTTGAATCAAAAAGTAATGACGACTTGTAAATGAGTTCCGTGGCAGTTCAAAAGTTTCAGAATGTTGAGGGCTTTTTTTTCTTCTTAATGTTCAAACATGTGATGATTTTTCTTCGATTCAATAGTAGCATCTCAGATTTTCCTAAGATAAGAACTAGACTGGATCACCAAGGGTTCGATGCACAAAGATTTGCATGATGTGAATAATTTAGTAAATATTTAATATAAAACTCTTTAATCACAGGATCACTTTGTTTGTGCAAGTATTAGGTGTCACATCAATTGCAACTGAGGCAAGAGCTTGCAAAATACGTTCAAAACACTTCTTATGCAATCAAAGTAAATTGAATTGAAGGACAATTAGGGTACTTATACTTACACTGGGTAGTTGTTCCCTATCGTTTTCCTCTCGATTGCCCAGGCAATAAAAATTAAGATAATCGCATGGATGCGCGTTCTCAAGATTAGCAGACTTGAGCTCTTTAGCGATAATCCCATACATCAACTTCATCGTTTGCCCCTATAGTAGAGAACAATTAAAGAAAACAATTACGTGCATTTACAACATCGACAAGGAAAGATGCAACAGAACGTTAAAAAGTAACGAATCAATTCATTCATAAAACATGCTTCGTGATAAAAAAAATTGATGACCAAAAAATTGGATACCCTTCTTAATTAAAATGGAAACATTACCTGCCAATAAAGGATTTCTTGTACACTTGAAGACTTAGGAACACCCTCAGGCCACATAGGGATGATAATATACACAGTGAATCTTTCCTTAGCCCTTATTTTACTAACAACTTTTAATGCCAATTCCATTGGGATTAAATTGTGAGCACCTGACAAAAAAAAATTATGCTATAAGTAAGCAACAACAAATCACAAATGCTAGAGAAAGAGCTCAGAAAATCGTTAAAGAAAAGAAAGATATTAGGCTAAAATGTTAACAGCTTTTTTGGTCTAGTTCATATTCAAGGCCAAAGTTAGGCCAAACTGGAAATTAAACCCTCTAATAGTCATATTTAATCAATAATCCAGTTTACTCAGCATTCAGAAGTGTACTCAATACATAATCAGAATAAAATAGCCGAAGTGTATCCCACTTCTGCCTATTCTACAAGTTGGGTTAGGCCTAGCCCATGCAAACCATTGCTTGCAGATTGTGTGCGAGTAAGAGAGCCCGATATATGTTTTTCTATTTTATATTTTCCTAAATAATTATAATGAAAATATAAAATGGTTGGATGTTTTAAACGAACTTCCACCCCCCCCCCCCCCCCAACCCAAGTGGCGAAGCAACACCTCTAAATCCATCCACAAACCAAACCATCTGTCCTAAAAGTAAAATATTTAAATTTTTTTCAAAATATCCCTAACAAAAAAAAAATAAAA